ATTTGAAGATGATTGCCGAGCTATCATTGGAACTCGGTCATACGTTCTATTCACGCTGGATAAGCTGATATTTAAAATTGTCAAACAGGTAAGGCTGATTTCCCCACTCTCTCCTAACTTCCCCCCTTTCTTTCCCTATGTGTTCCTGACCTTATCTGTACCATCTTTGTGGTGCTTACCTCAGCTTCAAGCCATTGCAAGTGATGAGATGGACAATAAACTCCTTCAACTGTATGTGTATGAGAAATCAAGAAAATCTACAAGATTTGATGTTGTTTATCATGAAAATGCTCGTGTTCTCCTTCATGATGAGAATATATATCGCATTGAATGTGTAAGATTTACCTTTTCTCTTTTTCTTCTGGATTGTTTATTTGATCTATAATATAGAACTCTCACACGCACTGCGTTTTTTATTTTTTGTTTACAGTCATCGAGGCCAACTTATCTTTCCATCCAGCTTATGGACTATGGACATGATAAGCCTGAAGTGACAGCTGTTTCCATGGACCCTAATTTCGCGGCATATTTGCACAATGACTTTCTCTCAGTTGTTCCCGAGGAAAAAGAGAAGCCCGGGATTTTCTTGAAGAGGTATATACACTGAGGACTATAGACATGGTTGTCGGCATTTACTTCGCGAAGTTATCATGATATACAAGTATAATGTTTGCAGGAATATACGCAAATGTGCGGGTGGTGACGGTCCATCTTCAACATGTTGGGCAACTGAAGGACTTAAAATAGTTAACTGTTTGGAGTGCAAGATCGCTAGCAATTCTTCCAAGGTATATCCAATTAGATATTCCTTCTCACGTTGGTGGAATTTACTTCTTTTCTTGCAATGTATTTTAAATAGATGGATATGATAAGTTAAATGACTGGAATTGGTGCTTGATAGGTCTCTTATGTTTTGGATACGGAGGATATTTTGTTCCGAGTTAGACAGAAACCGGCCTCAAATCAGAACAGCCGGTGCCACAGCCGAGCAACCGTTTCAAATGGTAATTCAGTTAGACAACGAAGGCAACAACGATATCAGAGGTTGCTCCTGGCATATACTTTGCTAGCATAAGTAGATATGGTACGTCTGAATCTGTTCTGTTTGCTCAGAATTAAAGGACAATAATGAAACATAAAGCAATTTCTCGTATGAGTTAAATCCAATCTCTTATATTCCAATTGAATTTTTTTTCCCCAAAAAATGAAACATCCTCGGACATTTTCTTCAGATTTCTGTGTTTGTCTGTCGGGTCATGCATTAATTACATATAAACACAGGCGTTAGAGACCGGGTGAAAGAGTTGACTGTGGCGAGCAAGTGGGAACTTTTGTTCTTTCTAAATGAAATCATGCTTCAATGTAGTATCATTCATATATATATATGTATATGTGACCAGCCAAATAAAGAAATAGAGTTAAATCTGTGTAAGTTGGTGGTGGTATTTGAGCCACTGTCGTGTACTGTACATAGGAGGTAACATCATATATTTCTTTCTGGTGTACTACATGACACGTATGTTCATTATCCATTCATCCATATTATTTTAACCCATGAGTTTCTGATTTTGGCTAATATTTAGCTTTACTTATTCGCATTTGATCGAATATCCGAATCATCGAATTTTGGTATTTTTCTCCCTTTTTTGTGCAAAATATGTAGAAATAAGTAATGGTTAGGATGAAAAAAAAATGATTTTCTATAATTCTATTGAACCTATTTATTCGGAGACTCATCCTTTAATCCCTGAAGTCAAAACCTGTTCTATCCTTTAGTTGAAGCTGGCCGTCTGCTTTTGATAAATACTTAGACCGTTCAAACTTATCTTCGATTTGTTTGTTTTATTGTTGGTTTAGTGTAAAAGCTATAAAAAATTGTAAAAACTAAAAAATTAACTTTTATGTTTAAAAACCATTTTTAGAGTTAAAATTTTAATTTATTATTCAATAATGTGTTTTTTTTATAATTTATAAAATTTAAAATGATATAAAATGAGATATGAGATTGGTCTTGGATTTTCAAAATTATTTAAATTTAACAATTATACTATTCTTTTTTTAAAACGGGTCGTTAAAAGATATTTTGAAAAGATATTTATTAGATCATGTACTATTTGTACACGTATTTTTATAGAAATCATAATATACAATTCATGGACTAGAAAAGATATCTCTATCTGTTTTTTTGTTTTGTTATGTCTAGTCCAATTAGGAGTACAAGTTTATTAAGTCTGATTTATATAAAATTAAACTTTAAATAACTGATTTTAAGAAAATAGATGATCTTGATGTTTTAAGTTAAAAGTATATATTAAAATAATATTTAAATTTTTTTTATATTATAATAAAAAATATATTGGTTTAAATTATGATAAAAATAGAAAAATATATTTTTATTACTTAAAACCACTACAGGCTCTCTATTTTGTTTTGATTTCTTTGTTGCAACGTCCTCAACAACTTTACTTCTAGTCATCTCATAATCAATAAGGGTAAAGTACAAATATATATATATATACACGGGCAAATTACAGAAATGGTCCCCCATTACATGGTACTACTTAATTAAGCCCCTTGATTATTAGAAGTTACAAAATGATCGTATGACTATGGAGTGTTGTTTTGTTGAGTCTATCTACTATTAAAAGTTACAAAATGGTCATCTGACTATTCATTATGTTTCAAACTCGTCATTTTCCATTAAAAATTGACAGTATTCTAGGTTGAATGTTAACTTACTTATTGTGATATGATAAAATATGATCACATAATCTCAAACGACTATCATATCTCAATCTTCATGTTAACGTCAAGATTAGACAATCATTAATTTTTTAACGATAAAAGGATGAGTTGGAACATAATGAATAGTCGGGTGACCATTTTGTAACCTTTAACAGTCGAGGAACTTAATAAAGCAATATTCTATAGTCAGAAGATTATTTTATAATTTTTAATAGTCGAGGGACTTAATGAAGTAATATCTTATAGTTGAAGGATCATTTGTATACTTTACCCAACTAATAAACAATAAAAACAATTAAAATTTAGTTAATGAAGAAATAGATACAGTCGAGTTCCATAAAAAGCCACTAGACCAAAAGTGAGAGAGAAGGTCAACAAGATTAGAAAGCACAACACAAAAACAACCTTGTGCCCTATATATGCAATTTATATCAACCTAACTCTATAACTCTATTTTTCAAAAAAAAAAAAACCCTATATAACTTTAACACAAACCAAGCAACCTCGGTAAAAAAAGAACTGTTATTATTACTCGAAATCTTGAGTTCGAGCACCAGAAATGTTAGGAGTATGAGCATTTAATGTCAAATGATTAAGAGTTATCTTTAAATAGATAATATATTGTATTTACCCCAGATTAATAAAAGAAACTATATAACTCTAATTCATTAGTATCGATTCAAACTTATAACAAAAGGAACAAACTTAAAAAAATTACCTACATTTTTATGATACAACAAATGTGTTCAAAGAGTTAGTCCATACACAAAGTAAAGCGTAGTAAGAGAAGATTATTTATTTCTGATATTATTACGTCACATACGATATCAGACGACATAAAAAAATAAATATGTTTCTCTTTGCAATAAAAGAGGAGATAGAGAGAATCGCTTTGTGATTTTCTACTCACACTAAAGGAAAGATAATCATAAATAAATCTTTAAGTTTCTCATCGTCTAAATCATCCTAAAATATAACTCCCATTTTATTAAATTATGAGATATATAATCTTTTAATTGAAACAAGGTTTTGTATAAAACTAATTAATTTTAATTAGATTACATAATCCGAATAAGTTTACTTTGGTACTTAAAATACACAATGATTTGGAAACACAAATACATATTTAGAAACGAATTCAAAATACACCAATCACACGAAAATTCCGAACATAGAAAATACACTTTTTTTTTTAATTCTTCCCATTTACTTTTTCCTGCGCTTACCCAAACGCCCAAACTGCATCACTCTCTCTTCAGATCCGACCGACCTCAGCCACCCAATCCAACGGTCGACATAGCAAAAACCTTTTGTTCAGCTTAAGAAGCACAATTTTTCTCTGTAGTTACTACACCTAGAGAATATGTTATTATTTCTGTTCTACACTTTGACTGAGAAGATACATGTTTCTGATTAACGATAGTTGGTTTACAACATTTGAGCAACAAGCTAGAGAATAGAACTCTTTGTTGGTATATCATGCTTTCTTCAGTCTGTTTTTACGGCATTGATCTATAAAATTTGGAGTGTGATAATTGTATCTTGATATATAATGCAATATTATGTTTGTATTGCATCCCAAGCCTTAAGATTGGCAGGTTACTCCCTGAGATTGGATTTCAGAAGTACTAAAATACAAGAGATCTGCATATAACAGACTAGACTATGCAGGACACTTGTTACCTTTGGGATGGGCATGTGTACCTTGCTAATGATTGTCTAGCAGTTTTTCGTTAATTAAATTCATAGCTTCATTGGGTTCATAATTTCAGACTTTTAGTAAAAAACTTACTTTTCTATGAGATTATGAATTTAACTAAAATGTACGTATTGTTGTTTTGAGTTGCCTAATTGAGACTATCTAACTGACCCCTAGCTGATTGAGTAACATGCGAGCAAAGATCAAGCATAAAAAGGAAGCTCAGTTGAGCTTCAAGTATTGAGTTTTAGAGTTAAGTTGGATCAAACTTGGCAAAACATCGGCTCGGCTCGATTATACCCCCTATGCTACTCGCTTTCAGAGTTACAACCTGAAAGCTTAAAGTAATCTACTTAAATTGGAGTTAAAGCTGTGGAAACTTCTTTCTACAAGATGCCTAATGATATGACTCCTAATTTTGTAGGCTTATAAGTCATGACAATTGGAGTGGTATTGATGGAATGATTGCACATTTGCATTCTATCTAATTACTTGATGAATTTTTTTTACATGTTGCTATTTCCTTTGGGAAATCTTAAACTATTTGAATAATTTTTTGCATAATTAATTTATATTAATTCATGCTGTTTATATGCAGATTCTTGAAATGGACACTTATAGGTATCACTGTCATTCCATGTCTGATCCTGGAAGCACCTATCGAACCCATGGTGAGATTACTGGTGTTAGACAGGTTGTTCAACCACATTACGTTTTCAGGGATTCGTTTGTTAAATGTTAGATATTTCATGTTGTATTTTAATCAAGTGAATCCAAAACTAACATTCTAGATGCGATGTTTCTAGGAGCGTGATAAGATTGAAAGAATTAGGAAGCTAATATTGTCGCATGACCTAGCTACCGAGAAAGAGTTGAAGGTATTTTTAACTTGAGTTCATTTATGAAACTATCAGTAATGAAATTTTGTAGACATTTGTTGCGATAGACATATTAAAACAACCGGAAAATTTTCAGGACATTGAGAAGGAAGTAAGGAAAGAGGTAGACGATGCAGTTGCTCAAGCTAAGGTAAGACAATTTTTGCTGTCTTCATTTTCATTTTGTGATTCTGATTTTAGATGATTGTATTTAAGTTCATATGTATGTATTTTTTTTTAATTATAATATCATTTAGAAATTTTGTCTGGTTGTCAGTGTAATGTTTCCAACATTGGTTCTTTCTCCTTTCTTTGTTCCAGGAAAATCCAGTGCCTGAATCCACTCAACTCTTCACTGATGTGTACGCTAAAGGTTTGGGCGTTGAGGTAGGAAACATTTGTGATGAATGCAAGGAAGGAATTCGAAAAAGAAGGAAGATTGCAGAAGAGAAGCATAAAAGATTGAAGAATTCATAAATTCATTCAGTAATTCAAGCATACTCATCCCTTTCAGATACATTATTTTTATACAATAGTACTATAGAATCTAATAAGTCAGCTAGCATAAATTCTAACTGATTTCTATTACTGCATCTTAACATTGGGCTACTCAAATGGGCTACACCGTTGCTGGGTCTTCAAAGGCTGATGGGTTAATGAATCCGTGCTCCTCACGTGCAATTTAATACTTCAGGTAATAATCCCTAATCCTTCAGCAATCCCTAACCCTTGTTTTGCATTTCCCCCAATTCCTTCTTCACCTCCTCGATCGCTTTCTCTTCCTTCCCCTCGTCCTTCTCCCCCGACCATGACAATACCCAGCGCTGGAGCAGATCCTTGTCCCCAAGGATCAAAGTTGGGAAACTGTCCCCGAAGAACGGTATAGTCCTCCCAAGTATCACAGGATTCGTCCAGGTTCGTCCATCGCACCAACAGTTGAGTCACAGGTTTTTGGTTCCTGTTGACGATCCTTCTTCCCATGATATGAGAAGGCTCAATTCTAATCGACCTTCCTCATTCATTTCAGGAGGTTTTGTAGAAAAAGTTGTTGATTCGCCAATATGCTTCTTCAAAAGGCTCACGTGGAAAACCGGATGTAACTTGGATGTCTCTGGTAATTCCAAACGGTAAGCAACCTCACCAATCTTTTATGTAATTTTATAAGGGCCATAGAATCATGCTGCTAACTTTAGGTTTTTTTGCAGAGCCAATGATGTTTGGCGATAGGCTGTAATTTCAGGTACACTGCTTCTCCCACTGTAAAAGTTCTCTCAGATCTCTTCTTATCAGCTTTCTGTTTCATTTTATTAGCTGCATTTTCTAATTGTAACTTGACTAGCCTTCGAATATCCCCTCTAGTCTGCATTAGGTCACTAACAGATTGCACTGATGAATTTGTTTGCCACACCATTGTAGGGGGTGGGTAGCCATATAAGACTTGAAATGGTGTTAATTTTAGGGCTGTATGATAGGTGGTATTATACCACCACTCTACATGTGACAACCATTTAGCCCACTGCTTTGGTTGGAAAAAACACAGACCCCTTAAATATTGTTCAAGACACTGATTCACCCTTTCAGTTTGTCCATCAATTTCTGGGTGATAAGCAGTATTGAATAGGGTCTTAGTACCCAGCTGCTTCATTAGTTCTCTCCAAAAGAGATTAGTGAAAGTTTTATCCCTGTCTGAAATGGCCACTTTAGGCTGGCCATGAAGCTTATAAATATTGTCCAAATACATCTTAGCAACCTCAGTAGCCGTATAAGGATGTGATAGAGCCAAAAAATAACTGTACTTGGTGAACTTGTCAACAACCACCAAGATACAATTCTTCTTCAAAGAAGTAGGTAAGCCCTCTATAAAATCCATAGTGATTACCTCCCAAGCCTGTTGAGGAATAGGTAATGGTTGAAGTAGACCAGGTTTAGCAACATGCTCCACTTTAGTTTGTTGGCATATTGTACAAGCTCTAACATAAGTAGCCACCATAGCCTGAAGCTTAGGCCAGTAAAAATAACTTCTAATTCTCTGATAAGTGGCCTGAACTCCTGAATGACCTCCATGAGGTGAGTCATGTAGAGTTTGAAGAATCTGTAATCTAAGAGAACCATTAGTACCAATATAAACCCTGTCTTGAAATCTGAGAATTCCTTTGGAAAACTTCCACTTAAGATCAGCAGTAGGATTCACAGTTAGAATGGAAATCCACTCAGTAGCCAATAAATCCTCTTTGTAACTGTCCTCCACATCTTGAACCCAAGTAGGAATGATTAGGGTAGTTCCCATAGCAAGACACTGACCCTGATCTTCCCATTATCTGGATAAGGCATCAGCCACAACATTTGATTTACCTTTTCTGTATTGGATAGAATAATCCAATCCTAATAACTTTGTCAGCCCTTTTTTCTGAATAACAGTAGTTAGTTTCTGCTCCAATAAGTATTTTAGAGGTTCATGATCAATTTTGATGATAAAAGGCTTGCTTTCCAAATAGTGTCTCAATTTGGAAACTGCTAATAAAATAGCAAGGTATTCCCTCTCATAAATAGATAGAGCAGCATGTCTTGGACTGAGAGCTTTACTTAGAAATGCTATAGGTCTGCCATCTTGAGATAAAACAACCCCTATGCTTCCAGAGCTGGCATTAGTTTCCAAATAAAAACTTTTAGTAAAGTCTGGTAGGGCTAGAACAGGTGCAAGACACATAGTTTTCTTAAGCTCTTCAAAAGCAGTCAAAGCTGCACTGTTCCACTTAAAACAGTCCTTCTTTAACAACTGATTCAAAGGTTTACTAATATCAGCATAATCTCTGATAAAGCTTCTATAATAGCATGTCAATCCCAAAAATCCTCTCAATGATTTTAAGGATAAAAGGCTTGCTTTCCAAATAGTGTCTCAATTTGGAAACTGCTAATAAAATAGCAAGGTATTCCCTCTCATAAATAGATAGAGCAGCATGTCTTGGACTGAGAGCTTTACTTAGAAATGCTATAGGTCTGCCATCTTGAGATAAAACAACCCCTATGCTTCCAGAGCTGGCATCAGTTTCCAAATAAAAACTTTTAGTAAAGTCTGGTAGGGCTAGAACAGGTGCAAGACACATAGTTTTCTTAAGCTCTTCAAAAGCAGTCAAAGCTGCACTGTTCCACTTAAAACAGTCCTTCTTTAACAACTGATTCAAAGGTTTACTAATATCAGCATAATCTCTGATAAAGCTTCTATAACAGCATGTCAATCCCAAAAATCCTCTCAATGATTTTAAGGATTTAGGCAAGGGCCAATTTCTCATTGCTTCGACCTTACTAGGATCAGTAGCAACCCCAGCAGCTGAAATAATATGTCCCAAGTATTCTACTTGGGTCTGGCCAAAGAAACACTTAGACATCTTTGCAAATAACTGATTACTTTGCAAAATATCCAAAACCAATTTTAAATGCAGAACATGATCTGTTATAGAGCTGCTGTAAACTAATATATCATCAAAAAACACCAAAACAAACTTCCTAAGGAATGAACTAAATAATTCATTTATCAAAGCCTGAAATGTTGCAGGAGCATTAGTTAAACCAAATGGCATTACCTTAAATTCATAATGGCCCTGATGAGTTCTGAATGCTGTTTTATAAATGTCCCCCTCCTTGATTCTGATATGCCAGTAACCAGACCTTAGATCAATCTTTGAAAAATAGACAGCCCCATGTAGCTCATCCAATAAATCTTCAACAACAGGAATAGGAAATTTATCCTTGATACCATCCTTCTTTTTAATTAGAAGACATGGAGAAGCAAAAGGACTTTTGCTGTGTTGTATAATAGAAGAAGACAACATAGTAGCAATATGTTTTTCCACTTCAGCTTTTTGGTTATGAGGGAATCTGTAAGGCCTTAAATTAACAGACATAGAATCATACTTTAAGGTGATAGCATGATCATGGGTTCTTGTAGGTGGAAGACCCTTAGGCTCAGTAAAAATATAATTGTACTTCTCCAATAATGGTTGAATAGCTGTAGGAATAGGACTTGAACTTTCTGCCATAGTCAGTAAAACAACATATCCCAATAGAGCAGAATTTGAAACTGTCATCTTCAATAGTGTAGCTCCTGAAATCTGTTGCAAAAAACTTGAGGGTTGTTGTCCATGTATGACAATCTGTTCATCTTGATGTACAAAACTGAGTGTCAGTTTGTTAAAGTCCATCAAGATAGGGCTGAATAACTTCATCCAATCAACACTTAGGACCATATCACTTCCCCCCAATTGAAGAAGTCTAAAATCATGAATAAAAGAATGTCCATGCATTTGCCATTCCACCATGTTACACATGGCTGCACTGTAAAGCTGTTGTCCATTAGCCACTGTAATAGCTAAAGGATATGGTATAGTCACCTGAATCCCTGCATCAGCCCACTGAGGTGTTAAGAAACTGTGGGTGCTACCACTGTCAATTAATATGTTCAGTGGTCTGCCTAAAATAGTGCCTTGAATTCTGAGTGTATTATGACCAATACACCCAGTGATAGCATTCATAGAAATTTCTAGGCTCTCCTCTTGTTGTAGCACTTCCTGATCTGACTGATTTGATAAAGTTTCTGTGGATAGAACAGGTTCTTCTTCAATCATCATATTCAATTGTTTTGTCTTACATTGATGCCCTGGAGAGAACTTCTCTCCACACTTAAAACATAGATTGTTTTATCTCCTGTAATCCAATAGGTTCTATTTTGGAGGCATACTAGCTGAATTTTTCTGCTGTGGAAGTGGTAAATTAGGTTTAGCAATAGGTAATGGGTTTAGGTAGGGTGGGTTTCTAAAAATTGCTCTCCCTCTTTTATTCTCATATTCCACAGAAAGCTCATACAATTTGGCTTGTCTGCAAGCTTCAGAAAGTGTCTTTGGTTCCAAAGCCTTAACTCTGTGCTTAATATCTTCTCTTAGCCCACTAATAAAAAGAGAGACAAAAAACTCCTCACCCAGAGTAGGATTCTGTAACAGCATATGAGGCTGTAATTCCTCAAACTTGTCCTGGTACTCCTCCACTGATCCCTTCTGCACTAACTTTGATAATTCCTCAACTATGTCAGCAAAGGACCTATCACAGAATCTATGACAAAGATCTACCTCAAATTCATGCCATGTCACATGATGCTTCTGCATAATATACCCATCGAACCATATTTCTGCCTTCCCCATTAAAAACATTGTAGCCACCTCCCCCTTTTGTTCCTCTGCAATATTACATAAAGAAAAATACTTGAGGCATTTTTGTATCCATCCTCTAGGATTATTTCCTTCAAAAAAAGGTAGCTCGATCTTGGGTCTATGCCACATTAACCCTGCAGTATTATGAGAACCTCCATTGCCTCTTCTATCCACTTCCAAACTAACTATATTATTTCTGACTGCACTGTTTTCTCCTGCGTTTATATCATTCTTAAAACTAGGTAAATCCCCTGGTTTGGATCTTAGAATTCCAGGTTCATCCGGTTTATAAGTAAACCTAGTCTTATCATTAAGCACTGTGACTTTTACAATTTGTTTTCCCTCTGTTTTAGAAGCATTAGGGGACTGTACCTGCTCATTATCAGACTGGTTTTGCTCTCCATTTCTACCAGTTAGAATCTTTAATAATTCTTCCACATACCCTTGATTAGTGGCCATCCTGGATTCCAATGCAGAAAGTCGATTTTCTTGATTCTCCCACCATTTAGGAATCTATGTGTCATCCTGAGATTGCTTGACCAAATTTCATAACTCCTCCAGTTGTTTCTGTAATGCTGAAATTTCTGGTGTTTCAGTCATACTTTGATTTTTCTTTGGCATTCCAGTAACGATTTGCCCGGAAAAATTTGGCTCTGAGATACCAATTTGTGATGAATGCAATGAAGGAATTTGAAAAAGAAGGAAGATTGCAGAAGAGAAGCAGAAAAGATTGAAGAATTCAGAAATTCATTCAGTAATTCAAGCATACTCATCCCTTTCAGGTACATTATTTTTATACAATAGTACTATGGAATCTAATAAGGCAGCTGGCACAAATTCTAACTGATTTCTGTTACTGCATCTTAACATTGGGCTGCTCAAATGGGCTACACCATTGCTGGGTCTTCAAAGGTTGATGGGTTAATGAATCTGTGCTCCTCACGTGCAATTTAATACTTCAGGTAATAATCCCCAATCCTTCAGCAATCCCTAACCCTTGTTTTGCATTTCCCCCAATTCCTTCTTCACCTCCTCGATCGCTTTCTCTTCTTTCCCCTCGTCCTTCTCCCCCGACCATGACAACATATAATTAATAAAAGTTCTTTCGTTTTACTTCCTATATTTGCATATGTTCCTTAGTTGGTCCTTTTCTTTTCGAAGTAAAATTGCTATCAGATAAGAATGACATCCTTCAAATGTAGAGCTTTGCCAAATCTATTTTGAAAAATTAGTTAACCCAAACTAGTCTAAGCCCATTTATTTCATTCCAAGTTCTTGGAAAATGGGCAAGAAGTCACCCAATGAAAGCTAGTAGGCTTCTTTGTACATGGGGAAAATGTTATGTTGATCCCTTTCAATTTTGGTTTTCATGGTTTTGTTTAAGATGACCCTAGATGCTTTGAAAATAATGTTGAAGATAGTAGGTAGGAACCATGACTGAATTCTTTCGTCGGTCATGTGGCTAACATGAATATAGAGGTAATAGGTTTGTATTGTTAACTGAATATGCTTAACCAAGCTATACTTGGTTATAGACGAGGAAACTTCACTGGACTGAACGGTACATGAGACCCAATTCTATTGTGTGTGCATTTTGCCTCTATATATAATGTTGTATGGAGTAGGAAATTATCTTGGTTGAAACGAATTGGTCGTTGGCTCATACCAAGTGGCAACTGTTGTTTCCGGTTAGTCGATGATTCTAACAGAATTTTATTTGTTCTTTTTAACTGCAGTCATTTGGAGCAGATAGGAAAGTAAGAGCTACACTTGCATAAGGTTTGAGATCTTCTTGGAACATCATTCTTTTTGAGTTTGTCCCTCCATTTAATCTTGGAAGGAAGATGAATAAAGAAACAAATGAAGCTGACCCAGCTACAAATTGATTCTTCAATAAGAGTAACATCCATCAATCCACTGACGTTTCTTTATTAACAACTCTAGATTCACATTGTGATAGGTAGAGATGTAGAAAGTTTTAGCACAGATAGATTTAAACAATGCCCTCCTAGAGTTATATAAGATGACTTTGATAATATTGATGCTTGAAAAAAAATCAACAAAAGGATCAAAAGGTCTGATCACAATTATATATGTAATGTCGAATGAAATTCTATAGGTCATACCCGATACATGACTCATGTTCATCATTGGGTACCGACACTCTAATCGCTCTTATTGCACTTTCCTTCAAAACCCCTTGAATTGGAGGTACAACTTATACGTTCTCGGTACACTGACCGTTCCTTGAGTACATGATTTCGCTATTACATAATCTAACTTACTTATCATGCCACTTGTCGGTACATGCTCGATTGAAGATACTTGGACGTATTACACTTAATATGGTTACTTCGGTAGTAACTCACTCCTACAAGTGTTTTTAGGCCTTCTTCATCATTTATGTCCATCATGGACTAAGTTCCATTATTACTGATCATCCTTAGCTTTTATATGGCTTAAAAAGGTCATATCTAAATGTCCAAAATGAGTAATATCGATACTCTACTCACTCCTACAATATTTATCCTCTCAAGCATAAAATCATATATTTCCGTCCTTAATCATGCATGACCGCTCAATGGAGCGTATAATCAATCTGATCATCATTGGTTTGTGCTTTTAAAATCCATTGCCAACTTAAATTATGGGTGAATGATCATCAAAAGACTTGGGTTTTTTTAGTATATTTGTTCTTTTTCCCTAATAAAATTGTACTAGAATGAAAATCTTTGGTCATAGATCCCACGTCCCCCCGTGACCCGGTGGTGGGAGCATACAACAACCATTTTCTATTTTCCTTACCACCTCGGTCGGTGGTAATGAAGTCAGTTTCAGTCACTGTCATTCATATTCCATCACTCACCTACAGTTGAATATTATATATATATATATATAAAGTTGAGGGTAATTAATAATTAGTTCATAATTTTATCAAATTTTGTTATATAAATCAAAGATAAAATAAAAAATTAGGGTGGGAGGGGGCTTGGGTCCCTCCCACTTATATATTTATAGTGTAGCCCCGTCATTGTATTTAGTAGTAAATTTGATACTTTTTTGTCCAGTTATGTCTTGAATTTGATTTGTTGATTTAAATTAGTATTAAAATTTCATATTTTGGTTTAAATTAGTATTTGTGGTAAGTAATTTATTTGAATCATAAAATTAAGTGTAGGTATTTATTTGAATTTAAAATTTAAGTTCACGTATCTAATTGGATCAAAAAATAGTTTAGATGTTAAATTAAACTTTAAAATTAAATTTAAATATCAAATTCAACCTTAAAACAAAGTTGAAGTACTAAAATATACGTTAAGTACACCTACTTCCCCAAGTCCCCCATCTGCCAGTAAATTTCTTAATTAATCCCTTTATTTTTTAACCTACTTTATAATGACCATCAACCAAACAACCCTTGTTTATTTTACATGACCTGACCCACACGTGCAAGTAAATAAACACCATCTTCCTCACTTTGATTAACTTATAAACAGGACTGACTTTAAGTTTGTCACCATTAACATAAACATGTCAGATTTTAGCCTACATTTACATGTTCTCTCTGACAGTTCAGAATCCCCCTTGCTTTATTCGGTAACTTCTCATAGAAATTGATGTGATTTAGTGTCTGTATTCAGCAAGCAGGGAATTAAAATTGTGGTTGGAAATTGCAAATCTTAATTAATTTGCAGGGTTCACGAGGTCTTTGATGAAGTAAACCCTTCCTTTATTTTATCTGCAACTTGCCCTGGGAATCTCTGTACACCTTCACGTATCCATTTTACGTAGCACACTAATCATTACCACTTTAATAACATTTTTTTTTTGGATAATTCAAAATTTTTATTACTCAAGAACAGAACATGTTACAAAAACATATAAAGATTAGCCTACTTACAAAAAGAATCAGATCATAATATATCCCAATATTCACATAGAGTAATATTAACACTATCATTCCTATTAATATTTCTATCATGCAATTGTAATCTAACAGTATCCTTACTGACATGAAATAGATCTTGAAAGTTCCTGGATCGGCTTTGAAACAGTCGTTTGTTGCGTTTATCCCAAAGAATATAGATAAGAGCAGTAAAAGCAAGTTTCATGATCGATGTTAGAAGAGATTTTCCTTTCCAAGTAGAGCTTGCCCACATAATAAGAGCTTCCCAAGAGCGAATGTTAAATTGCAGACCAGAGTTGGAAAAAATAACAGTCCATAGCTGATCAGCCATAGGACAATGGAAGAACAAATGTTCCCTTGTTTCACATGGATCATCACAGAAAAGGCATTTACAGTCGTTAATAAGCTCCATACGGTGATGTCTATCTCTAGTTGGGAGTCTATCAAGTAAAGCCATCCAAGTGATTAAACTGTATTTGAGAATATGGAGAGGAAACCAAATAGTTTTCTACCATGGCACTTGGGGTCTTCTATCTCGAAAAGCATCCCAGACATCAGTTACTTTCTCTGCTCCAACAGTAAGGATGGGGTAAGCCACAGTTCGAAGTTTGAAGATACGCCTTAGGCTCCAACTGTAAGAAGATTGAATGTCAACATTCCAAAAATCATTGTCTTTGAGAATTATTAGTTGATAAAATTAAACAAATTATGGTATAAAAATTGAGTTTGCATTGGACTTTGCCTTGAAAATGTATTTATTTATTTATTTACACAAAATTGTACAACTATTGATTTTTCATGTTGGATATTTGATGAGAATGTTTAATACTAATATTTACTCCATTGGATTAACTTTCCAGTTTTTGTATGACTAAATTTTGACAAATGAAAACAGAAGACCTAATTTATCGATTTTTATAAAGTGGAAGGATCAATTCAGAAATAGACCTGGCTTGTTCTCTTCTTCTTCGCATTTTGACTTTTGTGGGTGGTCACATGTGGCACGTTCCTTTGTGTTAATAGAACACAGGTTTTGATAATAAGTTTTGGGTAAGCTTCAAGATTATCATACAATTAAATTAGTATCGATTTATACAAATTTTAATATAAATTTGTATATTTATTAACGAATGTCATTAAGAATAGCCGTTAGCAAAACCCCAAAGAAAAAACTGCAAACCAAAACGTGTTAGCCAGGGGCGGATCTTCATGAAGCCCGAGGTATTCCAGGCAACCCCTCATCCAAGGGTAGACCTCTATGGTGTCTGGAGTATCTCAAACAACCCCTTCACAAGTGTAACCCCTAATCCAAATGCCACCCCTGGAGCTCTTGTAACCCCTGACGAAGGCTTCTGCGTCCGCCTCTGGTGTTAGCTATTGCTACTACTAGTTGTTAATGACTTTATCAGTGAATAATGTATCAAAACTCTCTAGTTTGATTACCTTTACATGTTGAATAAATAAAAATTCTTGAAAGATAAAAACCATGAAAATTAACAAGTTAATAACTATAAGTTAACAAGTATATACTATGGAAATATTAGATAAATTATTGGTTGATTTAGCGGAATGAAGTGTTAATCCTTTAAATAAGATCAGTGATTCAAATTCTATCTTGTGAATTAAACCAACAAAGGTTGAACAATTATTCTAGTAATAAATCTTTACAAATTCGTTTTAATTAACTACTGATTTAGATACCGATAATTATATTAAATTCGATTTAATTTGGATGAGATTTTGTAGCACATGCATTATGTGGGTGCTTTCAATTTTATTTGATTTTTGGAAACTGGAAAAGGAAAACGAGATCCAAGTTGTATGGTTGTAGTCCAATGAGAAGACCAGAAAGAAGGCATTGTTTATGATAAACATATAAATAAAAAAATTGAAGTTTTGTGGGATTAGACAAATAATAATAGTAATAAATATAAAATAGAAAGAAAAAAAAGGGGAAATGAAGCGAAAATACGAGAGGGAGCACGTGCGATCACATGGGGAATGCCAGCAAGGACACGATGGAATTAGGCATAAACCAGCTGGATGCTTTGGACGCGAAGTTGTCACGCTACTAGTGGTGAGCCCCAGGCTCTGCTGTGCAGCCCAACCCAAACAATGACTTATATATATATATTTGGATAAATTATGCGTTTAATATCTAAATTAGCAGTTTTGATCCGTTTTAGTACTTAAATTTTTAATTTTTTCAGAATCATACTTAGCGTTTAATTTTCTTTTTATTTTAGTACTTTTAATGAGTAAATTACATCATTCATCACTCAACTGTCTTCTAACTCTTATTTTGGTACTAAAGTTTAAAAATTGTCAATTTAACTACTCAACTTTCAAATTGCTCTTATTTTAATTACTCTAATTTATTTTATTAATAATTTTTTGACATGATATTTTATTATTATTATTATTTTATTAATACATAATTAAAAATAAAAAAAAAAGTAAAATTGAAAGTTAGAGTGATTAAATTGTGAGTAAATTGAAAGTAAAATAATTAAATTACAAAAAATTAAACTTTAGTGATCAATATAGGAGTGAGAAGATTGTTGAGTGATGAATCATGCAATTTACACATAAAAAAGGTGCCACGTGAAAATCACTTGTTAAGTTTTTAACGGCGATGTACTAAACCAAAACATAAACTAAACGTTAAGTATGATTTTGAAAAAAATAAAAGTTTAGGTACTCTTCAACATATATCATTTTAATGAAATGGACTAAATGGTTGAAAAAAATAGGTTTCAAATTAAAACTTTTATATATTAAAGTGATAATAAAGTACAACTTAAAATATAAAAAATCATTTAATCTTGAACAATATACTAACCATAAAAATTACTAATTTTCAAAATCTTT